GGCCCTGCTTACCCACTTTCTGTTCAAACACTTTTTGAATGGCTTCTCAGTGCCACATGCTGGGTGAAAACCCAGCAGTCTGTGTGAGTCTATTCATGATATTTCTCACATCAGCTTATTTGACATTTTTCTTCCTTGCCAACAGCCTGACCATAGAAGAAAGTAGTTTCCCTAGTACCTGGCCCACTCCCCCCACACATACTAGGTTCTTAGTGCAATGACTAGCGACTAGAGATACCAGTTAGAGTGGCTGCACTCATGGTTTGGGTCACGAGGAGGCTTGGGGAGACACATAAGTGGTTTCCTGCCGCTGGAGTGTGCATGGGGTGCTGGGGCTGTGGAAGGGCCAGGGACCCAGGAAGGATCTTACTACAGGAAAGACTTGCCACTTAGTAAGAGTAGGACACAGGCAGGAAGTGGGGAGGTCAAAAGAGCCCTGCAGGGAAGAGGGGACCCAGGGCTGAGGCCATACCTCAGAGTTGGAGAATGTGCCACTCGCCTGGCTTGGCTCAGAGTGGAAAGGGGATAGAGCTGAGGAGCAGGGCCTGTAGGCCTGTGGAAGCTGCACAGGAGGGAGGACGTGACCGTTCACTGCGGGAGGCTGCACCGTGAGCTGGGGGAGTACAGTGGTGGCTGAGGGCAGCATGGGACAGGGAGCCTACATAGAAGAGCCTGAAGGTGCTTTGCAGATTTACCAGGAGTGAACCCACGAAGTAGCTTCAGTGTCCCCACTCCAGGCAACACCGGGCAATGGGGAGACATTTTTGGTTGTCACCACCCAGCAGGGTGGGACTGTTATTGGCACCTGCTGGGTAGAGGTGAGAAGAGACCGATGAACTTCCTACAGTGCACAGAGTAACCACACACTTCAAAGCCCTGAAATGTCGATGGGCCAAGCTGACAAAGTCCAAGGTGACTGGCCTGGCTGGAAGGGCATGGGGGGACAAGGCGGTGGCAGTGGTTGGCAAGTGGTGGTGCTCTGATATTCAGGAAGCAGTCAGCTCCAATGCTTATCTAATGCTTTGGGACAGAGATGAGAAACTGAGGCATGTTTAGGAAGACTAATGCTGCCACTGTCGTGTGGCTAGGGATTGGCAGAGAGGGCTCCTTAGCTGGCCTTCTAAGTCCCGGGCCACTCCTCTTACCTTGCTCTGTCTTTCTATGACCCCGGACCTCAAGTGCAGGCTCTGCACCACAGGACCCCATCCTGCAGGGGGCACCCCCCAGAGAGGGAAGAGCAGGGCACAGGGCCTTCCCCATGGAACCTCTGCTCTGAATCCCTGCCTCTTCCTGGAGGACATTCTCCAGGTAGGCAATACCGGGGTCCAGCTTCCCCTGTGGGCAAGATCTCGCCTCCTCCCATAGCCTTGTGGGCACAGCAGGGGCCACAGTCACATCGTGCACCCTGCACACGCAGGCTTCGGCTTAGGCACCCCTTTGTATCCAATGACAGCTAAGCGCACCCTAGGTGCTTCATACTTATTAACTCACGTGATCCTCACGGCAGCCCTGAAGGCAGGTGTTCTTAGTATCTTCATCTTACAGATGAGAACAGGAAGCGCAGAGGGGTCAAGAACTGAGACAGGCTTACACAGGCCAGTGGAGCCAAGGTTGGAGCCCAGCCCATTCGGCTCCAGCTCTAGGCTCCTAACCCTGTCACCTGGCCTCTCTGACACCCTGAGGTAGAGCTCTGTGCCCAGTCCCACTGATGGCCAGGGCTCAGGCAGGAAGGAGTACTCAACAGAAGGCCCTCCATGCATGAAGGGGAGAGGCCTCACTCACACCCCCTCCCTGGAGACCCAGGGTTCCCCAGCTGCATCCCCTCCCCCCCAGTACCAGTGCTATTCTCTCCGGCCCGCACCCGCACCCCTACCACACATCCTGCCCCACTGCGGGGGACTCTGTGTAGCCCAGGCTCCTGCCAGGGACATTCTGCCCATGGCAGGCAAAGCCTCAAGGGTTATCTAATCATCCCTTCAAATCTCTCCACACCAAGGGCCACCTAGAGGGAAGCAGGTGTCAGTAGGGCACCTGGCCATGGCATGAGAGCTACTGAATATGGGGAGATCCACCTGAGGGTCTGGTGGGGGACACTGAGTCACTCCAAGCATGGGGCTGCCATGGGGTAGACATGGGCAGGGGCCAGGGGCCCCTTTACCAGCTGTCCGATTCACCTGCCTGCAGCATTGAGGGAACAGGGTTTGACACTGAAGCAGACCCTGGATATTCTCTCCAAGGGAGGATGATCTTGGAGGGGGCTTCAGGCCAACAGGGAGAAAAGGACCCAAGGGCCCTTCTTCACTCCCTGAGCCCCTTCCCAGGGTGCCAGATTTTAGATAGGCTATGCTGGGAAGTGGAGGCTAAGAAGCAGAGTTACCGAATTCTTCTGGCCAGCAAAGAACAGGGCTGCGTGACTTTGCTGTCATCTCTCCCGCTGTCCTCGAGATTCTGACATGCCACATTTGTGCCAAGGGCTGTGCGCTGCCATGAGAACCTGGCTCTCCCAACCTAAGGGCACACTCCACCTGCCAGTGCGCACTGCTGCCAGCAGGGATGGATCAGGCCAGGCTGTCAGGCCCTGCCCGTGTGTCAGCTCCGTCCAAACCAGCTCCAGGCCACTGAGCTTCGGAATCCTGTTCTTGCTCCTTGGCTGGGGACTCACCTTTTGCTGCCCAGGCCTGGAAATGTGTGCTCTGTGGGATCAGTGAGGGAAGTTGCTGCCCTCGCCCCTACATGCCAGAGGGTGGAGAAGGTCTAGAGTCTCAGTGTCCTAGATACTGGGTCATCCCCTCCCTGAGCTCTGGAGGGTCAGAACGCAGAGCAAGAGCTGGGCAGAGGGCAGAAATCTTCAGCCTGGAGGAATGCGTGGCCCTGGTGGCCAGGGGGTGCCCTGGGCGGCGTCCTGGTTTGTCAGCCAGGAGACCCAGCTTCCAGTCCTGGACTGCTCCCCACTGCGCTGTGGCCTTTGGTCAGGGCTTCCTGTGCTCACTTTTCCCAGGAACAATTATCCAAGGCACAAATGTTTATTTCAAAGCCCTAACTGTGTTCTAGCCTGGCCACAGAGAGACCAAAGGGAGGTACGGGGTAGCTCCAGGAACTGCCCTTTGAGTAACTATCTCACAGGCCTTAAATGCCGGCATGCTGCAAACCATCTCATGAGAAGCACTGATATAGGCTAGTAGAAAAAAAAAGAAGGCGCCGAAGCTGGGGCGGATGAGGAGTGTGCCATCCCAAGGATATCCAGGGCCACACGCAGCCCACTGACAAAGCCTGGACTGCTGGCTGCAGGACAGCACAGAAGGAACCCGTCAGAGGCCCACACCAGCGCTAAGGCCATTATGGCAATGCTGGCCAGACTAGCACTCTGCCTTTCCTACTTTATTTCTTCCATTTGTCTTCTAGACAAACTGTGACCTCTCCACTTTCTTCTCTTCCTTCTTTCCCTCATTTCATGGACCTTGGGGAGCTCCTGCTTTACCCCCAAATTCTGGATGTGCATGGCAGCAAATCTGAAGACAGAGACTGTATCTCCAGAAGCCTGCACCCGTGGGTGCCTTGTCCAGCACTGTCAGGGCCTCTAGAAATACAGAGGCCACTGCCACCCCACGTGCCCCACAGGCTGAGCCACTCTGCTCACCACCAGGAAGAATAGGGGGTAGAAAGGGATTGATGACCTGAGGGACCCAGCCAGCCCCAGAAGGGCAGTGCAGACAGATGACAGCATAGGCTTTGGATGCTGACCCTCTACAGTGGGCCGACTCTGGGTGAGGTGCCACTCTGTGCCTCAGTTTCTTCATGTGTAAGTGGGACGATGATCACACGAGTGTGCCCTGAGCACCTGCTACGCACTGAGCTTGTGTAAGTGCTTTGCACTCATGGACATCCTTGCACTACCCCTGCATTAGTGATGCCCCGCTGCCCTATTTTACAGGTAGACACAGACGGGTCACAGGGAAGAAGTGTGGCAGCTTGCCCCAGGGGTCACACAGCTCATAAGTGACACTACGGTTTCAGCATCCAGGTTCATAGTCCCTTGCCTGGATGGTTTCTGTTAACTACACCTCACACACAGCTAGTGGGCAAAGCGAGGTACTTGGAACACTGCTTGTACGTGACAAATGCACACAACAGTGGTGGCAGTTATGACGGTTGGGTTCACTTAGTTTGTTTTCCTATAAATTAGGACTTCCAGCCAGGATAAGCCAGGGAAACAGAACCTCTCCTGGCTTGATCTCTGTGGGGGCAGCAAGGATGGCTGAGTGGTGTGAGATGGAGCTCAAGAGAGAGCCCCTGTTCCCAACTCTTTTGCGTCTGTGACAAAACATAAGCTCAGGACCCACTTCTCGAGTCTCCAAGTTGTGGGCTGTTGGGGCAGCTGGACAGCTCCTTTTCCTACTTGGAGGGGACACTGACATCCCACCCCCCAGTCCAGTGCAAAGCTGAGACAGGGAGCGGCGTGGGAGTTCCACTTTACACGGGCACTTGGCAGGGTTCTGGGAAAGCCCTGGGAGGTAGACTGGCCCCTCAAAGCAGAAGCTGCCTGCCTCTCGTCAAGAGCTCCCGGAACACTATTCTTAGGGTACCTCCTCTTGCTTTTAACTTTGACATCTTCCAGAAGTTTCCCTGCACAAAAGCAACCCTGCTGTGGCTGCAATTTACACATCACATCACTCGCACACAGCTCAGTCCACCCCCTTCAGCCCACTCCTGTACGCGCACCTTCCCTTGCCCGCTCCGCAAAAATGGCTTCTGCGTCTTCCAACCACCTTCCTCTCCCTGCTTCCTTCTCCAGAGGAAAACAAGTGACATGTGAAACTGACAGAGAAAGGGGAAGGAGTCAGGGGAGTCAGCTAAATCCAAGCTTTGGAACTTCCCCGTTTCCAGGCTGGGCATCACTTCTGCTTGGCGGTCCACGTTGCCATAGCAACAGCCCAGCTGTGGCCAAATGCCCCAGCTTGCCACCCAACCTGGAAGCGCCCAGTGTGAGTCACTTACTGTGATGGTGTTTTCCTTGCTCTGCTTTTTGCTTGGTGAGGAGGAGCCCAGGTTCTGGGGAGAGAAGTAAGAGACATCATCAAAGCTGTTCTCCATATTGGACTTTCTTTCTTTCTTTCTTTCTTTTTTTTTTTTTTCTCATTCAGGCTCCCTGAGGGTGGAGGGATTGGTTAGGAGCCCTCTGTGCTGGTGAAGTTCAGAGATGTTCAGCCTGCCATTAACTCCTAAGTCACCATAGCCGGGGCCAGGGTGGGCAGGAAGCGCTCCCGAGTTCCCTCTGCTCCCATGCTCAGCTCTCAGGCAGGCAAAGTGGAAGAAGGCTCCTCTCCTAGCTGGGAGAAGACTGCTCCCGGGCAGGTGTCCCCTCTGCTCCTCATGCCGGTGATTGGGGGAGTTAACCCCTCCGCTGCCCCCTGCTGGTTACTGGTACTGCGCTGCTCTGTTTCAGTGGCAGAATCCACTGGGGTGCAGAGAGTTAAGGCCAATTACAGGCGGACCCCTCCTGCCGGTGGAGATTCAGCACATGACATCTTATTCTGAAACACCCAGATCCAAAATATCAAACCCTAAATGTGTATAACGCGCAGGGGCGCTGCTCAGTAACCGCCAAGACGTGCCGCTCTCCCAGCCCCAGGAGGCAGGAGCGAGTTCTCAGCCAAGCCCAGCCTCAGCTTCCACTCAATCTCTGGGCTGCCTTTTCAAGTCCTCCCCAATGCCAGCAGGCAGACTGAAGCCCCCAAGGACCTCTGAGACCACAGGTCCTTGGCAGCTTGCCAAAGTCTCTGCCTAAGGGTTTGCTGGTGGACAAAATGAAGGGTTACTGGTTGAAAACGTCTCATCCATCTTCTTTCTTTTTTTCCTGGTACCGGGGATCAAATTCGAGACCTTGTGCTGGCCGAGCAGGTGCTTATGCCACTGAGCTGTATGCCTGGCCACATCTATCTTAAGAGCAGAAGACCCTAAGGGAAACATTCAACCTTGGATCTTCCTTGTACAATTAGCAATTGCATTAGGAATGGGACACCAGAGGGCCCCAGGCAGGCCTGAGGCAGCTCCTGTCTTGAGCCCCACAGTGACTTTACCCCTAAGCTAGCTATGGCTGGTGGGCCCGAGTACATCCTGGCTCTGATTCCAGACTTACCCTATCCTTGGTGGAACAGAAGAAATGGGAAAATCATGCAAGGGCTTTGTCAGTGAGGCTCACGGAAGCCAGCAGTGTCCTCACCCACCTGCAGGCCAGTCCGACCCCGGAGCAGCCAGTTGCTGTGGTGAGCACCAGCCTCTCCCTCGGGAGCTTGGCTAATTTCTTACTGCCTTATAGTCCCCCTCTGACTGGTAAATAAAATGAACTCATAGAAAGTGGCATCCTTAGCATTCTTAGCAAAAGTAATTCTTTGAGGATCACTGACTTTGAGATCCTAACCAAGTATCCTGAATCCCTTGAGCCTCCGCTTTACCATCTATAAAATGGGATTGTTGCTGCTGTACATCAGGACTGAGGAGCTTACCCAAAAGAAGACTCAGTGTACCTCCCAGAGCCGCTGCACCAGTGGCCCCTAGGGCGGCAAGCTGTTGCCATACCGAAACTGAAGCCCTCCCTTGGACGCATAGTGATCCCGCCATCCTGTTATTTGCCCAAGGTGTCTCTACATACAGCAACTCCTCTGCCCACTGTAGTTGTTCGCAGTTTCCATGAACATTTATAAGGCATCGACTCTCCTGTCTGGCCTCCCCTGAACCCTCTCATGCTATCCACTCCATCCCAGGCCATGTGTCAACTGCTGAGGAAGGCCAACAGAGACTCCATGATAGGAAACACAAGTCTAGTCACCAAGAAGAGATGGGGACAGAAGTCTCTCTCCCAGGTCCTCACATGCAGAGACACTGGCCAAGCACACGGATGCCAAGAAGGGGCAGATTCTGTAGTTTTCTGTCCCCATCGTACACGAACATGATACTGCTACCATCGCGGTGTACCTGGCATCCGGTGCTCCAGCATCCTCACCAGCCTTTTAAGGCTGCAGATGGATGCTGCTATTGCTGGGGATGCAGAGACAGAGAGGAAGAGAACTAACAGGGAGGAAACCCTGCAAGAGCTACCACTACTGAGCACTTGTTTATCTCAGCGAGCACCAAGCTTGGCATCTGACCCGCTTAATCTGGTTTAATCCTGACAACCCCAGCAAGCTATGGGGCATCTTATCTGTCTTTGCAGACCATGATACCAAAGGCTTCCAGATGCTAAACCATCCAGGATCACAAGACTAATAGTGTGGAGGCCAGAGCCAAAGCCTGCATAGTTCTTTTTTCTGTCTTCTATCGTCTCTTCACTTTGAGACCTGGGACAGTGCCTTGCTTCCCAGGTATCTTTGCAGGAGACAAAAGAGAGCTCCATCTTCTACTAGCAGTCATGTCAAGACTGCAGTGTACAAAACTCCACGGAATGAGATTGGGCATGCTGATCATACCTGCCCACCACAACTTAGGCCAGGACAGGAATACAAGGCACGGGGAGGGCCGGCGTTCTGTGCGCGGGAGTCAGGACTCCTCTGATCTGTGCTGTGCTGGCTGGAGATCATTTCAACCAGTGCTGACCCGGGATGGTGGCCACAGACAATACCAGTCTCTGAGCCCACCAGTCTAGCTTCTATACATGCATCATATATGGGCAGAGATACACAGCTATGCATCACATATGTACACACCCCTATTTCGTATCACTGAAAAGGCGGGGAAGGAAGGACATGGTATCACTGTGCCAGCATTTACTAGCTATATCATTTGTTTCTAAATACTACTCCCCACTAAATGGAACCCAAGCGCCTTGGGAAACATGGCTAATCCCAAATACAGTGTAGACCCAGAATATTTTATTGCAGTAGGAGCTAAGAAAATGCATAAAGAGTGGGGATGATGTAACAGAAGCCCTTCTTTTAAAGCGCTCCCACAGACTACATGTGGGAAAAGAACAAAAGAGAAGACTACAACTGCCTTTGTTCCAAGGTGGGGGGAAGAAATATTTCATCCTAGAAAAATACCAATTTAAAAATGTACCAGGAATTAGAAATTCACCATTTCAGAACCCCCGTGTCAAAAGAGATTCAGGCCACGATTATCACAGATGTTCAAAGCCCTAAGTGCAAAGATTGTGGGGAACAGGACAGTCACATAGTATCATACTAGCATCCCACAGGGTACTGATAAATTAGGAAAGAAAAATGCATTCCCCCAAAGGAGAAATCTAGTAGTCTCTGCATTTGCCGAGCTCTGAAACGGCCTCAGCGGCAGGTTGCAAATCCAGGAGCTGCGACTCAGGATGCGAGAAGCGCTCAGCATGCTTAGAGAACGCCCTTTGCCACCACTGCTTACTGGGAATCTAAGAACTTAATGAATCTAAGCACAAGAAAGTAGTCAGATCCAGAATGTAGGTCATGCTACAAGACAACTGACCTGGCCTCTCCAAAAAGTCAATGTGAGCAAAGACAGAAGAGGAAAAAGAAGTGTGAGATCAACCTAGCTGAGAAGAGATTAAAGAGACAACATGGATAAAATGTTCCATCCCCACACAATGGAACGCTGTGCAGCCGCAGGAGTGAAGGTCTGATCCACACCACAACACCGGCCTCAAAAACATAAGGAGTGAAAGCAGTCAGTCGCAAAGGCCCACAAATAGCATGAAATGTCCAGAACAGGAAAATCCAGAGACGAAAAATAGAACAGCAGTTGTCCAGGGCTTGTTGGGATTCTTTGGAGGTGATTAAAATATTTCAAAATTCATTGTGATGATGGTTGCACAGCTCCATGAATACACTAAAAAGCCTACTGATTGTACAAAAAAGTGAGTAAGCTGTATAGTGCATAAGTTACATGCCAACGAAGCTGTTTTTAAAAATGAGAGACAGACAGACAGACTGGAGAAACAACATCCAACGAAACTTGACTAGACCCTGGACTGGAGAGAAAAGCTGATATGAAAGACATTTGGGGACAATGGGTGAGTTTAACTAATATATTTATGGTAATATTACTGAGTACTGAATTTATGTTTTTTAAAGTGTGATAATGGTATTGTGGTATTTTTTCCCTTTGAGATACATTCTGAAATATTTGCATTTAAAACAATATACCAGGAAATTGCTTGAAATAATGATGAGCTGGAAGCGTTAGGTAGCTGTGATAGGGAGCATAAATATAACAAAATTAGTTTAATGCTGGTAATTGTGGAATTTAAATGATAGTGCCATACTGTTTTATTGTAGTATTCTTTGAACTTTTATAAAGTTTGCAAATTCCCATAAATAGTTGTAAAATTTCCTTTGCTTGTGATTCCTCTCCTCACTGATTTTGCAAATCCTTCTCAGCCTGCAGTCCTGACTCTACCTGGGCAGCTCTACTGTCACCATGAGGACCAACAGGTGGATCACACGCCAGCTGCTGCCCATTCCCAAGGGAGCCCCTGCTCCAAACACCTTCCCAGTCCATAGCTAAGCCCCTGAGAATAATTTTCTGGCTCCTACTTCTTGGGCAGGTGGGATTCTGGAGAAAACCCTACCAGGGCACCCCAAAGCTGTTGGGATCAAGCCTGAGCATCTCACGAGAGCCCCCTGCAGACACCCCCAGCCTCACCTTCTGCCCTCCCCACTTCTGATTCAATGAGCCACACAGCCTGCTGTACCTGGCCTCTGTTGACTCCTTGCAAAGATCACTTTTCTTCTGGCCTCCAGACATCCACAAAGGCTCTTCCTTCTCCTGGAATGTTGTTGCCCCAACCCCCACATCTCTGCCAAGCTAAACCTTTGCTCATCTTTGCTGTTCTTCAACAAAATATCTTTTCTTAGAGAGCCGGTGCCTGAGGCCACCAAACTGGTCCCCGTAGCACACACCTCTCCATCCCTCATCACTGCTCCAGTTAGGCAATTATTTATCCAATTCTGTTCCTGGCCTGCTACACACTTTCAAGGCAGCGACTACCTCTTTATCTGTCTCCATTCCTGTAAAGATGTGAATGCTCAGTGGGTCACATATTACTGAAGTAGGGACTGGGAGCAGGGTTCAGCATCTTTCTTATTTTCAACCCTTTTCTTCAATGAGTCCCTCACATCTCTAAACCTATTCTGAATCCTATTCTTTTTCCTCCCTCCTGTATTCTTCTGGAAAAGATAATGGAAAACCAGAATAATTTAAGTTGGATCACAAAAGGGTCTGGGTATTGGTAGGCAAGAAGGAAGAAATCTAGTTAGAACTTGCTTCTTCTATGAGGTCTCGCAAGACTGCCCCCTCAATACTGAAACCCTCCAATGGGTGGCACTAGATCACTGCCATCACCTTGTGCATACCTGCTCAGGTCTCTCCAGGGCTAGGAGGAGGTGCCAGGACCCTCAGGAACTCCTGGGTACCCTGCCATCAGTCCTGCCCGTAACAGAGCACACTGAGGACATACTCCTGACTTCCATAAAAATCTGGCCTTCCCTCCCTGTCCTTCCAACATTCTGATCTTCCTGGTTGGCTTGCTCAAGGGTGGCAACCAGCAGGCAGTATAAAAAGAACATAATGACTTTCAGGCTAAAAGGCTTATCATCCTGGCCTCTGTCCCTGTAACCTTGAGCGAGCCAATTTACTGCACACTCTGCCATGTCTCATATGGCGTACGTTCACCTGCTTCCTCATCCATCTGTTTCAATTACTATTAAGGGTAATTATCATGAGTTATGATGGACGGCCTGGGAGACATGTGCAAGTCACCATGCACGCTGAAGAGGACGCACTCACAGATGCTCTGTGGTGGCACTGTCTGTGAACCGCTCACCTTCTTAACATTAGGGACAGATGTTTAGGCTCTTGTGCCTTCTGCAGACAGCCAGTTCTGCAGGTTCATAAAGCAGGATAAAAAGTCATAGCTTTTAGGTTGGCTGTGGCAGGAGGATCACAAGTTCAAAGCCAGCCTGGGCAACTTAGCAAAACCCTGTCTCAAAAGTAAAAATGGCTGGAGGCATAGCCCAGTGGTGGAGAATTTGCACAGCAAGTTGAAGCCATGGCTTTCATCCCTACTCTCTCTCTCTCTCTCTCTCTCTCTCTCTCTCTCACACACACACACACACACACACAAAGTGTAATGTTGTGCTCATTTTAGTAAATGTGAGTGAAAAGTAGTGAAATATGCAAAGGAAGCAAACATTACTCATGATGTTTGAGCAAGACTTAGCAACCTCAGAATAATTCATATTTTCAAACTGGGTAATTCTTATTCTGAAGAGCTGTCCTGTGCATCACAGGACATTTAGCTATCTCCCTGGCATCATGTCATTAACAGCCACCACAGCTGTAACAATCATAATGCCTCCAGATGTCCCCTGATGCGGCACTGAGACCTTAGATGCAACAAGCCACCACGAATGCACCCAGCCATTATTTTCTGCAGACAAGGGTAGTTTTCCTTCTCTCAAATAAGACTGTAGCACATGTAGTTTGTGTTCTGCTTGTCCTATTCAGCATTAAGTTGTGAGAATTTTCCAAATCATTACATTTTCTGTGGAAGAAAGCTTTTTAATGATCATATAATATCATTGGCTGGCTGGGTGTCTAGCACCATAATCCACTTTTCTCAGACTCTGTTGCCAGGCAATTAGGTTGGGTTCACTGTTACAGGGCTATAAATAATGCTTGGGTGAACAATCGTATACATAAATCAAAATCCCTGAATATATTCCAAGAACAGCTCCTGGAAGAGAGATTTCTGTGTTAGAGGCTTGTGAGACATATTATTGAGTCACCTTCTAAGTTATAAGTTAATTATTCCAGTACAGGACTGGTTAAGTGGTTGAACAACAATTTCTCACTACTCGCAGAGGCAGCAGGAGTTATTTTTTACTAGGGAAGGGAGCTTGGAGAGCGGTTTCCAGTATTCTGCCCCACGATGCTTAAGCTAGCACCAGCGTTCTTTGTCATTCACAAACCACAGCAGAACTTGGGCTGATGTCTTCAGAGACACCCTCAAATAAGACAAGTAAGCCACCCTTCTAAAAGAGTGACAGGAGCCACACAGAGGAGGCTATTTGGGGACTCGGCAGGAAACACTCAAAGCCAGGGTTGATTCCTGCTGGGTGGTATGGGTGGAGGAGTGGGGGGACAGACACATCACTGTGTGTTACTGACGGAGTCTGGGTCCCTACTCCTCAGGCGTGAGCCCGACGTCAGCAGCAGCCGCACCTGGAGACTGGCCAGAAACACCCAGCTTATTCAAGCCCTCCTGAGAAAGAATCTGGATTTCAACAGGAGTCCAGGAGACTGAGAAGTCCATCAGACTTCAGGAACTCTGACCTGTACTGATGCTCCAATTCTTTGCCAGACTTTGCTGAACTAAAGCCAACTCCAACGAATGCTTAGCTTCTTAAGCAAGAACAACTTAGTCAGTTTTCAAAAACTAACATTCTCACCTGAACTGAAGCTGAATGGCACCCTGAATCTTACTAAGAGAGCGCAGGCCTTTCTTCCAGTGAGTGGCTCGTGGGAACCACTCCGTGGTAGCTGTCGCTTTCTTCCCCATCAGCAATATAATTGCAATGATGATCATCAATGATCATTATTGCTAATTATAATCATCAGCACCATCATCAACAGTTTAATTCTAGGACAAGATCTCTGGATCTTGGAAGTTTCATCAAGAGCCCCTCCATGAAAATTTGTGAGCAGACAGCATGAGACCAGTCCTAGTTTCTTAGAGACAGCTCAATGCACCTGAGGAGAACATGGGCTATGACATCAGGTTCACTCTCACCCCACAGTCACTGGGTGAACCTGCACGAGCTACTTCACCGTTCTGTGCTCCTGTGGTCTGGTACATCACACAGGAATGGCCCTGACACCCACCTCGTGCCCTTGTGTAAGTGTTGAAAGGCATGGTGAATAAGAGCAGTTTGGGAACCTTAAAACATAGTCCCAGTTCTTCCCATTCCAAGGCTGCTTCTGTCCACTTAGCAGATGAGATGACCAGATTTTACTAAATTCCATCTGGACCAAGTAAGAGGAGTAGAGGATAGAACCGGACAAAGAACTGGGTTGCCCACGCGCTTAATGTGATGGAAAACCTGGATGTCGTGTCAGGAATGCAGACGGTGGCCTGACAGTAACAACTAATGGCTATCCGACCGTCCTGCAAACCGCCCTTGCTTTCTAGGAAACTAACAGACTAATCATCCGACCCTCTTCCCACCAGGAAGCAAAAGCACAACCCAGATAGTTCATTCACTCTCTCCTTGGGGGCAGAATGGGGCTAGTGTCAGCTGGACTCTCACAATGCACCCATCTTTAAAGAACCCTTCCTGGGGCTGCACAAGCAGCAACCCCTACTGCCCTTAAGGGACACCTTACCTGGGAATCACCGGTGGATTTTCGGAGACTCATGTGGGCAGTCTCAGGAGGGTGCGCTGGGGTCCCTGATGCGTGGTATCCATTCACTGCGGGGACAGAGACACGGCTCAGATGCTGTGTGGGCCACAGACAGGCACCCTGGACTTTGGCCACTGTGATCCCTTTTCCCACCTCCTCCCCAGCTTCTGGGAGGTGTCATGTAGCTAGGTCCATCTCAGGAATTTTCAGTTGTTGGAGAGCTGGAAGTGGGTTACAGGCATCTCTCTAATCCCCAGCGCGCAAATTTCTAAATTCCCAGGGGAATAAAAAGTGAAGTCAGCAGAGTCCAGCTTCTGTGGCCAGAAATTAGTTGCAGTCTCAGGTGCCAGTCAAGTGTCCCATCGCCCTACTGTGTCGGGTGGGCCCTCTGCCACTCTCCTACATCCCTTTCCTCTTGTTCTCTCAGAAGCACCTCCCTCTTCAATCTTGTGAAGCAGATACAGGTTGAATATCCCTTATCCAGAATGCTGGGGACCAGAAGGGTTGCATGTTTAGGGTTTCTTTGGATTTTGGTATATTTGCAGACTTTGCATGATTTGAACATCCTTAATCCAGAAATCTAAGATCTGAAGTACTTCAAAATCCAAACCTCCTGGGTCTCATATCTCTGTTCAAAAACTTTCAGATTTTGGACTTTTGGGTTTGGGTTGTTCAATTTCTGCAACAGGAAGAGGACGGGGTCTACTGGTTTCATGTAATGTGGCTCAGTCAACTGCTACCTAGGCGATCATATACAGGCCTTCTTGAGTCCCATATTACTAAAATGAAGGGCTCCAGAATTCAATTCTTAGTAACATATGCATGTTGGGGGACATGCTCTCACGCTCCTAATTCACCAATAAATGTTCTTTTTTGGGGGGAGGGGTGGGACACACTGATTTGTAGCATCTTCCAACCTCTGGGGCATATTCAGCTTGTACCATGGCCAGCCTCGAGCCCACAACACGACTGCATGGTCCTGATGTCACTAGTTCATACCGAGACCCGTGTGCTCTCAGTCCCTATGACACAGCCACTGCCCAGATACATTACCTGGGCCTACAGGAGCCATTTCTCCCAGCAAACCTGAGCTCATGTGTCTGTAAAATGGGCCTAATTCCACCTGGTCCTCAAACCTGCTTTGTCAGTGTGACAATCTAGCGAGGCAATAATTGTAAATGAATCTATATGCTCTACAGTATTCATTAATAAAGCAGAGAGGAAGAGTGCTGAAGTGGGGGGAGGCTGATGCTTTTGTTCTTGAATTCAGTCCCTGTGTATCACAAGCCTGCACAATCTCTGCAGACCAGGAAAGCAAGCCACCCCCAAATGCCAGGATTAGGGTAACTGCTGACAGTGCAGGGCGGACTTGAGGAAGGTGCATAAACTGAAGTCCACCTCATGAGCTTTCAGAAAACTCTGCAGCATGAGAGGAAGCAAAGTTGAAAAGAACTGCAAGCCACCGACGCCCACCATGGCTTAAGCATCCCTAAGCCAAACCTATGAAATGCTCCCAAGTGTAAACGTGTTGTGGGCTGACACAGCGTGAACGGAAAACTCCACATCGTGAAACTCATGCACACAATTATTGAAGATATTATATAAGACTATCATCAGGCTATGTGTAAAAGGTATATTTGAAATATGAATGAACTTTGTGTTTAAAGTTGGGTGTTATCCCCCAAATAGCTTGTTAAGTGCAAGCAAGTATTCTAAATCTGAAGTCCCACACCTGGACTACTTTTGGCCCTAAGCATTTTGGGTAAAGGACACACAGCTTCTCATATGAAGCAGCAAAGACTGGATGAAAGCGATGGGCAGGGGGATGGGGAAGAACATTCCAGGGGGGGCCCTTTTCACGCCCAGGGGCAGACTGCATACTGTACCACACGCAGCAGCAAAGGAACCCAGGCTGCATGTAAGCAGTCATACCAAACAGGCTGCCTCCGGGCAGTTAGCTTCTGCTCTCCAGGGTCTGCCCTGTCCTCCTGAAGTGGGGTGGGAGCAGCACCAAAAAAGGGGAAAGTGTACAACTTGGGTCCTGGAGGAGTGGCTCACAGAAGCCAAAAGAAACAATGTAATCTTGTGTGGACAGGTCCTCCCCCATGTTCCCCAGGTTGACTGCAACCCAATGCAAAAGGCAGCTGGGGAAGGGAGGCTAGGCCAGCAATCCCAGTTACTCGTGATGCTGATGCAGAAGGAGCTGGAGTTGGAGGATCACAAAGTAATTCTGTGGGGCCCTGTCTCATAAAATTTAAAGAGTTAGTGATACAGTCAGGGGCAAAGCTGTCTAAGCACCTGCCTGGCAAGCTCAAGGACCTGGGTTCGATCCCCAGTACTGCATGCTATGCTGGCCCCAGAATGCCAAGCTTGCTGTGCTGGCCACTGAAACCAGGTGTGGTGTAATCCCAGCACTGGGGAGGCTGAGACAGGAGGATCAATACAAGTATGAGCTTACATAGTGAGACCTGTACCTAATTAATTAATTATTTATTTATTTTTAAAAAGGGAGGGCCGGGGCAGAATCAGGAAGGATGCTGAAGGGCTGAGGGGATGCGCTCAGATTGGCAGGAAGCTGCAGCAGGAAAAGGTCCAGGGTGATGACAAATACATCTCACAACAAAGATAACACGCAGGAGATTTCCCTCATCAAACAACACAGCACTGCAGTGGATGAAACACAAGAAGTTTTGAGTGTGCATCTTAGCCTGGAACCAATTAAAAGGCAAGCATAGAGACAAACAGGATCTGAATAGTTTAATTTTAAAAGCTGATTGAAATGGATCTATTAAACATCCTAACCCATAGACAAAAATAGCATTTTTTTCAAAGGAACCACGAAACATTGAAAATGTTGGCCACATTTCAATCACAAATATATCATCAATAAATGGCAAAAGGCAAAAATAACATGGGTCATATTCTTTGATTAAAGAGCAATAAGAATGGGTATTAATAATGAAAAAGTAAATAAATACACAAAGTCCCCAATATCCCAACTCCTCAGCACTTGGAAACTTAGGAAAATGGCCTCTTAATCTCAGGTCAGGAGAGAATTTAAGACTACAATTACACAATGTTGAAAAAACAGCAAAGAAAAACATACAAAAACAAATGCAATAAAGTCCCAATTATCTTGGAGAAAAATCCATAACCTTAATTATTTCATTACCAAACCCAAAGGGACAAAAATAAAAGGACTAAACATTCAATTTAAGAGTTTAGAAAAAAATGTTAAGGCAGTGAAATAAACCAAAGAAAAACAGGAGAAAGGAATATCAATAAAAATTAGTGCATTAGGACCCAAGATGACACTAGACCCCAGAACTGGTCATGTGCATGCATGCATGCGTGTGCGTGTGTGTGCGTGCGTGCATGCGTGCGTGCGTGTGTGTGTGTGTGTGTGTGTGTGTATGATTCCGGGAGTCAGGGCAGGAATCACAACGGTAAAGAAAAGGAGATGAAGCAGCCTATCTGAGAGTGAGCACAGATAGCCAGACTCAGGAATTAGAAAGAACACATGAGTGTAATAAGCATGGATCTTTTGTTACTGCTGTTAATACAAGAGCATATAATTTCTAATTCTATGCTGGTAAAAGCCAAGCTTCCATGAGATTTTAGTTGTCAAAAAGACTTCAAAGAACACTAGAAACGCCAAAATAGAGCAAAACCTTTGACAAATTACCTCCCTGCATGAATCACTGGACCCAGACAGTTTTATAGGCAAGTTCATACAAACTACATCCAAAGAAATCCCCAGGCACAGGCGGTATCACAGGGCAGAAACACGGGACAGGTTTCCCAGTCTATACACAAAGCCAAATGACCCCATCACCAAATGGAACAAGCACCACACAAAGGTGAGCTGCAGTCGGTCTCATGATGAAAGCGAAGCCCACACAGCTTTTTCTGAGCAGGGAAAGCCACTGTGTTTGATGCTACTGCCCCTAGGAAACCAGGGCTGGTCCCCAGCTTCCCTGGAGCAGAGGCTGCCCCTTTCACCCCTATGTTCTCTCTTCCCAGGGCCTCAAAGTGCACCCTGCTGGGCCACCCCCTCCTGCCCCCATTCCTGCCAGGGTCAACACCCTTGGCACAGCCAGGAATGATGTTGTGCAGGGAGGCCTTCTGCCCCTACCTAACCCAATCAATTCCTTTTTCTCACTTCAGTTCTGGTCCATCAGCTGTTGGCTAATTACTACTCATGTCAAAACAATTACTGGGAAAGAAAAACTAATTTTCCATTCGACCATTTCTCCCCACGCAGCAGCTCCCCTCTGACAGACGCCCTGTCTTCTCTCTAACACTCCCAGGCGTGGTCAGAAAGCTGATCAGGGGCGATCAGAACAGCTAGGGGCCCAGAAGATCATGGTGACCTTGGCACTGCCACTCCCCTCCTCTGGGCTCCCCACTCACCAGGGATCAGGTGCAAAGCAAGCACAGCCCGAGTTGGTGCTTTTAAAGGTTTCTGGCCCCTGGAGAGGGTTCGGGGACAATAAAGTTGATTACGAATCAGTTGGTAACCATACAGAATATAATTTGGCATACAAGGAAGAAAATGAAATGCCGGGGAGACCCAGGAGTTGTTGAGTTTAAAAGGGGGAATAAAAACTACCTGGTAGTTGCAGTAACTTAAAAAATAAACATAAACACAGGCACCTACCTGTGCAATTCTTCCATAGGGGCAGCTAAACCAATCGAAAGAGCTTGGGAGATGTACTGCAAGAGGAACAGATATGCGGGTAGAAAAGAAGGGGAAGTTGTAGTAGGAGAAAGTGAATAAAAACAGAAAAAAGAGCATAAGAAAAATTATCAAGACACTAAGCAACAAAGAGTCTGCAACTTCGGCCAGCCAGAATTCACCCTCCCGGCAGCTCTGCCTCCACATTTCAGCCCAGTCCCTGCTATGCACAGCTCCAACCGAAGCCCCACTATCCAGGCTCTTGTTCCCTGGAGAGCACTGAAAAAGTACAGGAAAGTCAATCCTTGACACCCCCTTGAGCCTCCTTTAGCCCTGGTCTAATTTTCCCTCTCTCTGGAATGAACAGGACAACTTGTCCTTCCTCAGGAT